TGTGAATATTTGGACAATGAAATAAGGTTCTAGCCCCGAGTAAATGATCAGTTCTGTAATCAAATTACTACTGAGGAACACAGTGGTATTTGGCTTATTCTAAAGCAAATGTGGATGGATCCAAGGGCGGTAATATAGGTGACTAGTCTAGTGGTGACCTATATTACCGCCCTTGGATCCATCCCCCCTTTTACTTAACTTTCTCAGTATATCGTTAAGTAACTGTCACCCGTTTTTCCTTGAATTCCTGATAAAACGTTTGCAATAGTCCCCCCCCCTCCCCCTTCTAAAATATCTAAATCCGCCCCTGAAAACAGTGACTATCTATTAATGGTGGTGTAGCAGTTTTGCAGGAAGGGATTGCTTACTCAGTCTCCTGATACAGAGAATCATGACCAATCACTCGACACAAGATGGAAGTAAAATATATGTTTGCAAAGGGAGAACATCTGAGAAACAGTAGAAAAACGTGTGAAAAAGCTTTATATCCACATTTAGTAAGCTTACCTTTGATTTGAAAGTGAACGTAGATTTCTTTTTAATCATTTTCCAGCAATTTAAAGCTTTAAAATGTTGAAGATATGAACCAAAACTTGCAGATAATACAGCGAAGAKACACACGAAATTGTCCGCCATCTTGAATTTAGCTTAGAGACCTGGCCTTTGACAAAGGAAGCCCAAAACATTTAAAACCACAGGGAACCCSCGCACACTTAAGTTCTTTAATTAATTAAGTTCCATATGGTATGCGTAGGTTTTTTCAAACCCTTGATGTCTTGTATAACATCCCCTTTAGTCTGAGGGACGAATTTTTTACMGTTCAAAAACTGGACCTGTACAAACCGTTAATCCGGAACTGTCTCTTTAATTGTATAAAAAACGTTCTGTTTACACCGAATCGTTCCCAAATTTGCACGGCTAGGCGTACGATTTTTTTGCTCGGATAGCTCAGTCCCATTTGAATGAATCCTTATATATGCGTACAGGTTTTTGACCGGTAAAAAATTCGTCCTGTACCATGTAAACGCAGCTTTAGTCTCAAAAAGGGCGTAGAAAGCAATGAACATAGTTTTAATTTAAAAAAATTAAAATAACAATTTTTTTTTTCTCTGTTCTTTATTCTGTTGCTAAGTCCATTATGGTAAATCACTCTATACGTTTAATACCAACGGGAAAAAGTAGAAACAAAACAGACGCGCCTGCAGAGAACAAGGCAGCGAACTAGTCTCCATGGAAACAGAAGATGAATGGTCATTCATCAATAAACAGATCCAAAATATAACATCTCCACAAGGAAATGAATGGCACATTGGTCTCAYGGTGAAAGATGGTCAATGGAAATGGGTCAGCGGTGCTCCATTGAGTATTAATCACTGGGGCCCAGCACAGCCGGCTGGTAATGGCCGGTATGTAGCTATGTGGAAAAGAATGTCTACAGGAGAGGAAGGGACGTTTAACGATGTGCCACGGTGGTTATCAAGGGGGTACATATGTGAAAAGTGTCAAGTAGTGCAATCAAATAAAGAGATTTTACCTTACAAACCGCAGCTATAAAAGTTGAGCATTGTCATCTAAGGCCACGTCCACACGTATCCGGAAATTTTTGTATCCGCAATTTTTTTTTTGTGGATACGGGTTGCGTCCACACGTGTCCGGAAATTTTTGTATCCGTATCCGGAAATTTTCGAAAACGGTCTCTAGAGTGAAAATTTTCGAAAACGCTCCGAACACGGATATGTGTGGATGGTCGTATCCGCAAATTTTGAAATACGCTGACGTAAACACGATTTTGCGCATGCTCAATGAGGAAAACTATCCGTCAAAGGGGCTAGGCACTAGTGTGCATCAGGGCGGATCAAGAAATTTCCGGATACGTGTGGACAGTGAAAACGATTCGAATACGCTGCGTGTGGACGCGAACATTTTCGTATCCGCAAAAAATAAAAATGAAAAATACAGAAAAAAAATTGCGGATACAAAAATTTCCGGACACGTGTGGACGGGGCCTTTTTCATTCAATAATTGTTAAATATGTGTGTGGTTCTCATCGTAGAGTATTGGTGGGCGAAATGTTTAAAACCATTGCGTTTCTGATATGACACTTTGTTTTGATCTGTTGTCAAATTCTTGGGGTGCATGTTACGTCATAGCCGCCATATTGGTTGACGATAACAAAGCATTCCTCATTAGCTTCTTTTGTTAGATCAACTAACACGGCAGTTGTWTGATAGGTATCCTCCTATTCTTAGGGTGCATGTYACGTCATAGCCGCSATGTTGGTTGATGATAACAAAGCATTCCTCATTAGCTTTTCTTGTTAGATCAACCAACACGGCCGTTATTTGATAGGTATCCTCCTATTGTTGGGGTGCATGTTACGTCATAGCCGCCATGTTGGTTGGCGATAACAAAACATTCCTCATTAGCTTCTCTTGTTAGATCAACCAACATGAGTAATACTAGCACTAGTATAAGGAGTTTTGAGTCATGTGGTGGTACCCCTTAGAATAGTTAATAGATTTCTGAAGAACCAATCAAAACAGATTTCATCATCGTACATCTACTTGATTTCACCATATGAGCCACAGCACCATCAAGAGATTCCAGGGAGAGATTTGGTTGTTTAGACTACTTTTCTGTACCACTGGGGCCACTCTCTCTCAACTGCGGCAAAATAGCTATCCTAATAGWTAATAATAAATAATAATAATAATTAATTGAGAAGCACAAATAGCATATACTGCTAATTTGCTGCCTCTCACTACTGTGGTCATGAATTAGACCGCAGATTGCTATGGTAACCACTCCCGCTGTTGCTAGGGAACCAAAGAGATATCAAATTAAGTGACATCGAAATGATGTCACTGCAAAACTTATGTCTTATGAAGGCCTGCTTAATTTGACTAGCAAAAAATAAAAACACGCTAGCCATTGCAATAAAATAAAAAAAATTATAATTAATAAATTTTTGTGTCATTTTGTTAGAAATGCATTATTGGGGATGGAGGGGGAATGGAGGGGGGATGG